CCCGGCCTCACAGGCCTAGGCGGGGCCGGGCGGGGGGTGACACCACAGCACAGGCCCGTGGGCCCCGCCCCCACGCCCCGCCCCCACACTGAAGGGCCCAGACGGTTGGTGATTGTGCCCCTCTCCTCAGCGCTCCGTTTTGGGCCCCCGCTACAGAAAGGGTGCGGACATGTTGGAGAGTGTCCATTGGGGGGCGATGAAAACGGTTGGGGGGTCAGGGGACAGGACTGGTGAGGACAGGAAATGGGTTTATTTAGGCTGCATTACCGTGGCGGTGAGGCCAACTATGCTATATAAAGACCCCAATGGCTGCAGCAGGCAGGTGAAGATGGCGTACGTTTCAATGGCTGTGAAGGCGGATGAAGGCTGCGGTGGAAGAGTAACCCTGGTCGTCGTGGAGCTCCTTGCCGCCCTCTGCCGAGATCCGTGCGGTTGCTGATGTGCATCTTCCTCATGGAGAACAAGTCACGCTGGAAACAGAAGGAAAGCAAACGAGACCAAGAAATGCCACCTGTGACATTTGCCAGAAGGATCGGCCTTCGTAAGCATCAGCGGATTCATCTGCAACCCTTTGCTTGACCCGTGGGAGCGATCCTCCTCGACCGTGAGGGATCGCCGCCGCCGACAGAGGATGGAGCCGGACTGGTCTCAGTGGTGGCAGATGACACAACAAGGAGCCATGGGCTCCAGTTGCAGCAAGGGGGAGTTTAGGTTGGATATTAGGAAAAACTTTCTCATGAGGAAGGTAGTAATGCACTGGAACAGGCTGTGAAACCTCCGTCCGTGGAGGTTTTTAAGACCCAAGTAGACAAAGCTTTGCTGGGATGATGTAGTTGGAGCTGGTCCTGCTTTGAGCAGTGTGTTGGACTAGATGCGACCTCCTGAGGTCCCTTCCAACCCTCATTTTCTATGATTTTATGACCCGGTATTGGCAGCTACGGGATGCTGGGTCCTGGCAGCTGTGGGGCACTGTTGGGACCCCGAGTCGGCAGCTGCCGTGATGAGAGTCCCCTCAGTTGCAGGACTCCCAGGCCTAGCTGGGCATGGTGCACCGTTGCAGCTGATGGGACCCCAGCCAAAGGGGGGAAGCCTGCTACACATGCAAATTAATACTGGATATAGTTTTATATATAGCAAATTTATAGCAACCAGCTATAAAGTTAGCACACATTGTCAAGATCTAATGTTATAGCTGGTTGGACCTTTTTATGGCATGATGGGTACTTTGCAAGTCTCAGTTAATTGTGCAGTTGACCAGCAAATTGCACATTATCTGTAAGATGCAGAGGGGCCTTTAGGGTGATCTTTTCTTGGACAAACTCTCGTTGGGGTAGAGTTAGCTGTCGAATGCAGGATGTTCTTCCTCAGGTCTCTTGCCTCTCACATAATTTGTGGACCACCATGGCTAGAGCATCACTCTCACACTAGTGTGATAGCGTGAAGCATGTGGGCAGGATCAGCAGCTCCTGGTGACAGCATCTTTGGTTTATGTGTAGTGCCTGGGGGAGAGTGATGGGCATGGTTAACCTGGTTGTTAGCCCCTTACTGGAGCGTTTCTTGGCTGTCACTCTGATAATCAGCTGTGTGTTAGCAACCTTTTGTAGGGGGATGTTGTAACTACACATTTAGGGGTATATCATATCTCATGTGCCACTTCACCATTAAGCCAGGACTGTTATAGGATTGCCTTGTCTTTTCCTTGTGGGTTTTCCCAGAAGTCTGATAGCTTTTCTTTTCACTTTGAAAATACTAAAGATAACCATACATTTTTTTTAGGCGCTGCTTGTTCCATGGATTCTTTTGCCTTTATATACTTTTGGGTTTAAAATTTTGTTTTTCCGGTGCTGATTTCTTAAGTGGAGATTTGCATGTCTGGAGGCTGGTCTTGCAGTTGGAGTCATGTTTGTAGGTGCCTCTGTCTGTAAAGCAGCCCAGTATAGTCGGAGAGGTGCACTGCTTAGCAGTTTCACAGATGGCAATAGGGCGCTCTCTGGATTCAGGTGTTCCAAGCAGACGGGGTCAGTTGGCCAGCAGGGCCTTAGCAGGTGGGTTGGTCTCCCCTCTGCAGCTTACAGTGTGAAGCATCTACGTGAGAAATTGCTCTTTTCTCTCATTTTTCCAGGATGTTTGCGCTGTACTTGTTCAAGCCTGCCAACTGGTTCATCTCAGCCAGGAGCATCTTGTTAGCAAAGTCTCTCAGCTTATTCATCATCTACTTAACCGATTTCAGGTATGGAAGATCTGGTTCTGTCCCTACCCTTCCCACTAGATGTGGATATAGACCAAAGAGGCTCTTGCCTCCATGGGACAGGGACAGTAGGGAGGATGTAATACAAATGCACTTGGACTTTTGCTTTGTCATTGGTTCTGTACTGCCATTCTTCTCATCAGCTGCCGTAGCTTGGAGGTGCATGGCTAAAGGGTTGCTGATGTAAAAGCCACATGTGTTCAGCTTCTGAGTTGATTTAGACCTTTGTGTGTCATGTAACCAGGCTAGGGGAGACGAAAAAAAATCTCTCTCTTCCCAAGAATCTCATAGACATTTCCTCAATGCAGGCTGCTTTTGAAGCAGCATGTATTTCCAACAGCTACATCATTTGGGTCAGTACCCCCCTAGGGGAATATTCCCTAATTTCAACACTGTGCAGGATAATGAGGATATCTTTCAAGAGCTGGTTTTTCATTGTGTACCTTTCTCTGATGACAGGTCTCAGTTGATGAGCAGGATCTGGATTTTCTTCTCGGCTATTCCATCGCCGCGCTTAAGCAGTGCAGCTCTTGGACACACATTGAGATTCTGCAAGCCTTAGCAACTCTTGTTTACAATAATGGACCTAAATGTCAGAAGGTAGGTTGGCGGCATTGTGAAATGTATTTATGTATTTCAAGCAACCTCCAGCATTTCAAATCCTTTCCTCTTCTCCAAAAGAAATACAGAGCTTGCCTTATTCCTGGGGAAGCGTGCTCCTGATATGAGCTCCCTTTTATGATCGTATCTGTAACTGAAGTGTAAAATGTATTTCAGGGATGTTGGAATTTTCATCAAACCAAGCATTATGTAGCAATGAAATTCAGAGCTGTTACCCCTTATTGTATTAGGGTAAGAAAGGTACATTTAAGCCAGCCAGCAATTTTCAGTTGGCTCTGTAGTGAGGTTGTGTCAAATCCCTTGCATTTCTGTGCTTTAAGGACTCCCCATGTGCTGATGTATGAGTTCTCCAAGCAGTGCCTCCTATGGAGTTTGTCCTATTAGCAATGCAAGTGAAAACAAAACAAAAAAAAAAGGAACATTGCTGTGAAAATGCAAACAAAAAAATAGGGGATAGCGCAGCCTAATGCATGCCTGATGTGTGTGTGTTTGTGTGCAGGTGCCAGGTATCAGAAGTCTTCTGTAGGTTCCCAGCTCTGTGTGAGCAAGCAGGAGGAGTTGGGGTAGGCAGTGTGAATGCACTGTGGCACCCCTTGCAGATTTGCAATGCAGGAATCGCCTGGTTCAGGCAGAAAAGTCTCCCTGCCCCAAATTCCTTTGCCCCTATCAGCTGAAAGAGTGAGAGGCTGTCTGTGCAAACAGGGACTTGGAGAGATCTGGCAGGTTCTTCCCATCCCAGGCACCCTGGCACTAAACACATGTAGCCTTGCTTAGAGAGGGCAAGGTAGCAAGGGGCCCCAGTCATACTTTCACTTCCTGTGCTGGTCTTGAGCTATAGCAGTGGACGTGATCCACCTCTTTATGGGGGCCTGCTCCCTGCCGCAGGGGCACGTTCCTGTGTCCAGGGCAGCTTTGGATTGTGCAAATTGTTCAGGAACTCTGAGATTCATGCAGCAGCGGGACTGAGCTCTAAGCAGTGCTACCGAGGACCACATCAAGCATTGATGCCAGTTAGCCTGAAGTCTCAGATGCTTTACTTGGCCTGTACTTGATGCTTGACTGTTACTGCTGTTTGATCTACTGCCGAGAACTCTTGATCCATGGGCAGTCTCCATGAGACCACTGACTTATTGCAGCCAATAGGATTGTTGCTTGCATAGTAGCTGAGGAAGAACCGTGGTGATTAGCTGAGCTGCTTCTGTGGTCACAATGGCACCACTGAACAGGTAGTTGAGCCATTGACTTGGATCTATCGGGGAGCCTATATTGTATAACCATAGTAATTAGATGCAACACATTTTAGTAACTTAGTGTAATTGCAACCTGTTTCTTCAAACAGCTTCTGCCAAAGAGTTCAGTTAGTTTTAACTACATGAAAAGTGTAACTTGCCTCGGTTAATCCGTTCTTAAGATCTTTTAAGACAAAGAAAAGATGGAAACAGGAGCTACGTTTCTTCAAGGACACTTCTAAGTTAACTTTAATTCAAAAAGTGATAGATTTGCTTGTACATGATCAGAAACACCTTCTGTGCTTGAAGAGCAAATGCTGTAAGTCTGGGGAAGATGCCCTCTTTATAAACCGTTTGAATCCCTGTTTACGTGCAAATTAGAACCTAATCTTAACTTTGGTCACAGTCGATGGTTTTGTAATGCTGAACAAGAAAACTTTGCAAATGAACATTGTCTCTTCAGAAGATGTGCAGATCTTAATTCTGCTTGAATCTCACCGTGAAATCTAATCTGTGTTTAGTGTATGCATATCTGGGCATTAGATTTAATGAGCAGCTTTATTTGTTTGATATTCCAAAGTCAGGCGGGAATTTACCAACTGACTTGTATTTGCCAGATGGAACGCTGGATCTTGCTGGCCCATAACAACTGTTATGGTTTGTTTCAGTACCTCCCAGATTTGCTGGGGAAGAACGGACTCCTGGTACAGTTCAGTGGCCCATGTCAGACTGACTGGGATCTTCGGAGGGCAGCAGTGCACAGCATGGCCAACCTGTGTCT